AATGGGAACAAATTGATTAGAAAGATGTATGCAAAGAATAGTAATCAATGTAATACAAATTTTGTTATTCGTTTTTTTACATCTTATTGAAATTTTAAATGCATATAATTTAATTGGAAACATAATATTAAGAAAAAAAAAAATGATTGAAACTTTGCAAAATCCAAATTTCAAAAGAATATTACCACACATGCAGTGCTGCTTTTCTAAGAATGCAAAAAATTAGTTGGATGAAAATAAGAATTTTTAGAGTTTTAGAATTTACACAGATTAGAATTTTAGCAATTCCTAAATAGTGATAGTAGAAGAATCTTTCATAATGAAGTGTGATTGACAGGTAAGACAAGTCTATAGAATTTTTTAACTTATATAAATTCATCACAGCTGGTTAATTAATTAGGAGCATTGTAAATTAATATAATGCATCTCCTACGAGTGACACAGCTATTTAAGTCATTTATACCTGTCTAATCGATAAGGTAACTAATGATTTAGAAAATGTTGATCAGCGGAGTTGATTAGAATTTTAAAAATCTAATGGAAAAATACACTGCAATTGGCTTAAAATGGGACTAAATTGATGACTTATTTAATAATTACCAAATTTTCAGGTATGCTAAATATCCAGACACTCTAATTCATAATGAAGTGAGAAAGGTGTATTAAGATCGAAAGTTTTAAAACACGCTTTTTTTAACCTAAAAAGTAAAATTCTAATAAAAAAAACAAACTTTTTTTAACCTAAAAAGTAAAATTCTAATAAAACAAAAAAAAAAAAAAAGTAAAATTCTAATAAAACAAATTTTTCATCCATATGTTTGCATGTATTTGTTATTATAACATTCATTTATATATTATTACAGTGGGAGGAAGGAAAGGATAACTGAATGGGGTGTAAAACTTGTGCAAACTTTCAATCAAATGCATAATTATGCATTTTGGATTTTTTTTTTTTATTTATTTTCAATAAAATCTGAAATTTTTACGAATTCTTAACTGGCCTAAAATTGTTAAAATTGAAAGTGAAATTTTCAATATTTATATGTTGTTTGTAAAAGATGAGACAGTCTAAATTATCGATTGGCAATCATAAACTAGTATTATTGATCGATAATTTGATAGTACGAATCGTTTATCATGCAATTATTTTCATTAATAATCGATATGATGCATTTGATGATCAAAGAGTCTCGTGATATTTGTCACATATCATACATTTGGTGTGATAGCAGGAGAAGTGAATAGATTTATTTTAAAAACAAATAAATATTTTTATTGCACCACTACTGCATGCAACACAACATATACATGTATACACAAAACATTACACAATTTGCTGATATAAATATTAGCAATTACAATGTAGTAAACATAACAACCGGATGAAGCTAAAAACGTGGACATATAAAAAAAAAAAAAAAAACGGAACAACAATACGACATTCAACAATCACAACATCAGGAACAAGCATAACAGAAACCGGAAATGGAAATTACGATATTCATATAGAGAAGATTCGAACTATCCATCATAATAAGTTAAATTGAATGGCTGCATTTCAGTAAGGTATCCATTAACGAATCGTACTTTTGAAAACGAAAAAATCATTCCCATTTGATTATAACTCATACAATGACAGGTATCCATTATCTGACTTCATGAGTGATTTAATCCATTAAAAAAATTTTAGTCTAAACAGAAAAGTTTAATTCTGCAAATCAGAATGCTCAAAAATTGTTCAGAAATTCAGGAAATAAAATTTCAAATCAATTTTACGGGAAAATCATTCATTCGTTTGATTATTACACTATTAATAGAGATAATTTGCAAGCAGATAGTATCTAGATAAATTAAAGAACCCAAATCTCTGTCCTAGATAAAGAGTTTAAAAGAAATTCAGGTCTTTCTATTTATTCTACTGATTTTTAAGATTGATCATCCACGCTACAAAAAAATCTTAATTAAAGACTTAAAGACTAGAAATGTTTATTGGAAATATCTCACATCTTAGTAATGATTAAATGATTCAAACTCAAAATCACAATGATTGTGAGACTCAAAAATATACAGAGATAATAGATGGAGGTAGTTTAAAAGAGATTTTTACAAATTAAATAGAATACGATTTATAATAACTCTCAAACAACCTAACAAATTTAGTTTTCTAAAAATGAATCATTGTATCACAAAACAAAACTTCCACCCAAAAAGAATAAGTCGACCATGTATCTTTATTGCACCTAAAAATTAGGAAATTGACAATTCTACGTGAACAAAAAGGAATACGCGAATACGTGAATGACTGAAATCTGATTCCACATAAAATTCCTACGCATAATGCATGAATTGTATGAATTATATAAAAGAAATTCTTTGCAAAATTTGTTTTTTTATTTTACAATTTTTACGATAATATGAAAGAGGAGTATAATAGGAATAAAGTTTCTTGAATTTTTAGTAAATCCATACGTTACACACTTGTTAGTCTCATGTGCCACTTATGGAATAACATTACACATATATTACTTAGAATCATTTAATAATATGCAACTTAAATTTTATAAATTATTATTTATAGAGTAAATAATGGATAGAGTAAGTTTGTGATTATTTAGGTTCGCTAAAACGTCATAAAATGATAAAGCTATTAGAATGATAATGCAGTGATAAGTTAAATAACTAAAATGATAACATTGTGATACGATAAATAGGATGGTAACGTCGTCATAAAATAAATAATTAAAACGATAATGTTGTAATGAGCTAAACAATTAAAATGATAGCGTCGTGATAAGCTAAGTAATTAAAATGATAATTTTGTGATAGGCTGAATAATTAAAATGATAACGTTATGATAAGCTAAATAATTAAAACGATAATGTTGTAATAAGTTGAATAATTAAAATGATAACGTTGTGACAAGCTAAATAATTAAAATGATAAGTTGTGATAAACTAAATAATTAAAATGATAACGTTATGATAAGCTAAATAATTAAAATGATAATTTTGTGATAGGCTAAATAATTAAAATGATAACGTTGTGATAAGCTAAATAATTAAAATGATAAGTTGTGATAAACTAAATAATTAAAGTGATAACGTTATGATAAGCTAAATAATTAAAATGATAATTTTGTGATAGGCTAAATAATTAAAATGGTGACGTTGTGATAAGCTAAATAATTAAAATGATAAGTTGTGATAAACTAAATAATTAAAATGATAACGTTGTGATAAGAAACTAAAATGATAAAACTGCGATAAACTAACAACTTGCTAACCTGAAATCAAAACAACACACAAATGAAGAATGACTCTGAATGTACGAATTTTTGTCCATCAATAAATTTCATCAAATTCGATACCACACAATGCAAACAATGAGAAGCAATGGTCTATTTACAGGTGGGAAATTGCTTAGAAGATTGATTTATGTAATTTAATCTTAAATAATCGAAAGATGAAAGTATATTGAGAAGAGATGATAACCGGAAATATAACAGGAAAATTGTGAAAGAACCAGAAATATGCAGAAAACAACAAATTTAATTTACAATTTTTTTTTTTTTTTCAAAGAAATGCTACCCTGAAATAATTGTATAAAATGTAAACTGTCAACTAATAAAATATTCTAACTCATTCATTCACTTCATAAAATAAGAAAATTAGTATAAATTACTAATAGAATGGGTTAAATTGTTAGTTAAATTAATTAGCTAATAAGTTAAATTAGCTAATGATTACAAAGTTACTATGCGTTAATCGGAAAAGAATATTTGATAAAAAATAGAAATTTGATTGTAATAATAATTTCAATAACGGATCTGTTAATTATACATAAGAAAGTATGATAACTTATTGTCTAGCCAATCGATTCGTCAATTTTTTATTGCTCATTCATAATTTAGCATTAAAATTATCACTAAATCATCTAATCAGTAATTTACATTTAAAAAATTATGAAAATTGATTCTAAAATTAATTCATTCAATGCAAAAAGCAAAACATTTGTTTCCTTATCTATAATATATAATCTTATCAATGTTACATCGTTCCAATTCAATTTTTCATGTTTAAAACAATTTTCATTCAAATATTGATTGATTATTTTATTGATCTAAGTAATATCTAAATGAGTACTTATCTGTTAAGTATAATCAAATAAGTTTTGTGATAATTTGTTGCTAATTATATCTTCCAGTTAAATTTATATCAAAATCAATGTTATTTTTCAGCTTTTTTTTTTTTTTTTTTTAGTCATAATAATTTCTTATTAATGTTGTGGAAATATTTGTTGAGAAAATATTATTGGTATTTTAATCCTAAATTATTAATATTTTAATTTATATAAAATTATTATCGCCAAATGTTTTATTTCTAGAAAAAAAAAAATAAAATTTTATCATTCATATTAATTAATTAGCTAAAAATTAAATTTATTGTTTATTTTTATTTTTTATATCGAATGAATATTTTTGATTTTTATCCAATAAACAAGTGCTAAATGTAAAAATATGAATTAGAATTATTGATTAAAGAAAAAAAAATTTTACTAATATTTAATAATCATTATATTCAATCTTAATATTAAATTATAATTAAGTTATCATTAAAAGTAAAAAGATTAAGTAATGCGAAATGAAAAAAAAAAAAAAAACATTTGAAAATTAAAAAATATTTTAAAAAGCTAAATCGAAAATTTTGTTTTTCTTGAGACTACTTGAATAATAATAAATTGAAGTATTAAACATTAAATTTAGTGTAATTTTGAAATTCAATCATTTTACTTTTAGTTTTTTAAAAGTTAAATAATTGAATTTTTCTTATCTTTTAAATTATTCGTTATCTTCCTTTTCCTTCTTCTCATCATTTTGAAAAATTTATCTACTTTCTATTTTTTCTCTTTTTTTTTTATATCTTTTCTTGTACAACAGATGGTTTATTGCCATGCCACATACCAATTTGATGTCAATTCATTGTTAAATTATTTGATACCTTATGTTGCTACCTTTACTACCTTTTATCAACTTCCTCATTTATTCAACAATTTTAATTAAAATCTATTCATGTAAGAAATTGATCATTTTAAATGAATATTTGGCAAATGATTTATTGACGGTATTAGAAGATAATAACACATTCTTCATCGGTGCAAAGTATGTTAATTTCATTACTTAATAAATTATTAATTATTTTAGTAAGTTAAAGGATGAAATTGATCATGTTTATTTAGATAATTAATATTTGTTTCAGTCTATTAGTACACTAAATTTTGCTAATAAATATTATTTGCTATTATCGTCGAAATTTAAAATTTCTCTCCAATCTATTAATTCAATTTTAAATGATAATTGCCATTAGCATGAGCCATTTTTGACATTTGTAATTAAATTTTAAGCAAACAGTTATTTTTATATTAAAATTTGAGAAAAAAAAAATAACAAAAATTTGCACCAACCATATTAAAAAGTATTTTGTGATATTTTTTTTTTTATTTTGTAATAATCACTCCATTTAATTTCTTAATTGAAATGCTATAGTGAAATGGCGGAAAGGGAATGATAAAAAGAAGGTAGAAGAAATTAAATTAATTATTATTAAACATAAAATTTAATTATTATCAAACATTCCAACAAAGATATCAAAATGATATCTTTCATTTATTTATCAAAAAACAAAAAGACGAATGAAATAAAATTACTTCAAAATAGACTAAATAATTTTTAATTAATTTTTAAAAACCAAGAATTTAAAAATTTTTTTTTCGCTACGAAATATTTTTTATGCACATGCATGCATACTTGCATTTTGCAAGCTATTATTTTATCAATTGCTACAACAATTGTTTTCAAAAAAAAAAACATTCAATAGATCAATTAATTGTTTGCAATCAGTAACATTAACAATTTTGATAATTGATAATGAATAATTTAAGGCTAAATGAAATAAATGATAATCGTTATGATAATTTTGCTAAGAATTTTTTTTGATATAATTTTTAAGAAGATAGAAATAAAGTAAGATTTATAGATTACACAATGATTAGATAATTGATAGCAATTAAAAAATGACAAATAAATTTCAGGAATCAAATTATAGCATTATCAGCTGAAAATTTTCGTTTGAAAACGATAGTACCATTAAATGTTACAACTATTGGAGCAGAAGAATGTTTAATGAAAGGATTTGACAAGGTTAATTCCGGTTTTGTCATCGTTTAATTAAAAGTAAACATATGCCATAAATTTTTGTTTAATCTTTTATCAGCTATTCTTGTTTATTACATTTAATTTATTTCATATAAAATATTTACGCATCATAAAATAATTTTATCATAAATGAAATAAAAAGTTTTCCATACAATGCATTGATGTGTAACAAATAAATGTAAAAGCAAAAAGTAAAATTAAATGTTGCGCAAAATGTTCTCACTAATAGCGCCAAAAATATATTTTGAGGGAAAATGTCAAAATGATATAACATTATTATTACATTATGGTAATAATTGCTTGTATATTTGTGGTACAAATGCGCTTTCACCACGTTGTCAAATAAGAAATGTTTGTTCATTTAATTCCTTATTAATTTATAATCAATAAAATTTTTTAAATAATTTTTAAAAAGATATAAGTTACAAAAAGAAAAAAAAAAAAGATGCATTATACTTAAGTATAACTTATTGTTTCATTTTTAATTTCCTAAAATTGATAAATTCTTTTTTTTCCAAAACTTTAGGTATAAAATTATTTCAGAAGCGAAATTTATTCGAAGAATGCGCAACTAGCATAAATGCTATTGGCCTTAGTACATTCAATAAAGATTGTCCAGCTTATCACTTATCATATGATAATTATACATTTACAGCATTAGCTGTTGATATTTCATGTCAAAAGCAAACATTACTCCGTGCTCTTCCGCAACAACAAAAACTTTGGTTACCAGTTAATGATGATCGTTGGTTTCGTGGTACTAATTTTGTTATAATTTAATTACTTTAGTTTAATTTAATATTTATTATAAATTTAACTTAAATTTAAAGTTTAACTTAACGGAAAGAGGAAAAGAAAAAACGATGAAATTAATTTCAAGTAACAATTGTTATGATTTTTTTTGATAAAAATTTTTAATTAGCAAAATTGAATAGAAATTTAATGGTTTTAATTTTAATTCAAAAAAAAAAAACAAAAAATATTTTAATATTATCATTTCTTTTAGAGAATTCATACAATCTTTTATTGCTTCTTTGTTTTTAATCATTTTTATTTTTTCCTAAATTTTGCAACTATTATTTCATTTTAGAACCAACATTTATTGCATTATTTGGTTGGAAGCAATATGTATATATTGTTTTTAATGAAGCAAATAATGAAGGCATACAGGTAAGGTACTAAATTAAAATTGATTAATTTAAATATTACATTTTTGTTAAAACTTTAATTAATTAATTGGTGCAATGATAAGTGACAAAAAGTTTTACGATTTATTCTAGTATTGATTATTGTTTGACAAATTTATTGCAGGGTCGAATTGGTGCCATATGCGCAAATGACGCAGGTGTTGCAAATAGTACGGCGCCCTACAAAAATGCATTCAATTTATTTGGCAAACTTTCTCTAATATGTCCTTTAGACATGAATAATTTACAATTGAAAATATTAAAAACAGCGCAAATATCTGCTAATTTCATTTTTGCTATATTTTGGAATGGTTTTGAACGATTACCAATATCTGCTTTATGTGTATTCGACCTGAATAAAATCGAGAAACGATTATTCGATGATGATAAAATTTCGGAAACAGCATGGAAAATAAATGATAATCATTGTCCAGAAAGAAATCAATCCGGTTTTCCGAGAATTTTAGATAAAACAGTAATTGCAACAAATCCAAATGCATTGTACATTTTTCCGGAAATGATTGAGTACGTTGTTATTAATTTGTTTAGATTAAAATTACAACTGAATAATTTTAAAAAAAAAAGAGACTTTTAATTGCTATCTTTTGAAATTGTTACTTTTGATATTTGATGCTTATTTCCAGGTAAAATTAATATATGAAATAGAATTTATTAACATATAGCACACACATATGACATAATATTAATTAAAAAAAAATAAATTTCAATAATAGAATTAAAAAAAAAATTACAAAAAAATCAATTTCAATAATTAGTAAAAAAAAAAAAAAAAAAAAGAATTAATAAAAAAAAAAGAAATTAAAGGATAGTATCTGTAAATGTGGTTAATGCTAATAATGAAAATTATCAAATTATGGCAATATCTAAGAAAGCAAAAGTATATGGTTTTATTTTCAATGGTATTTCTATTAATAAACAATGGACTGAGCAAATTATTGTTAGTGGAAAAATATTGGAAATTAAAATTCGAAAAGAGGTCTAATTTCACTTTGAATATTGATTTCACGAACGCATAAAATTCTGTTAGCTTTTCAAATTTTTAAATTTGAATACTAATTCAAAAACATAAAGTTTTTGAATTTTTGGTTCGAAAAAAAATTGAACTTTTATTAGAATTTAAAAAGCATTAAAGCAGCATTTTTTCATTAGCATTTTTTTTTTAATGGCTTTTATGCTAAATTTTCATAGTTTAAAAATAATTTTCAGTCTCGATTTACAGTACTCGCATCAAATTCTTTCAAAGAGTACAAAGTAAAAGATTGGTCTTCAGAAATTATCGAGAATATTAGCCAGAATACCGGGTATGTATTTAAGGAAGGGAAGAGAATGCTTACGGATTATATATTTGTTTTTGCTTTAAAAAAATTCATTTTGATTTAGGAAACAAATTTTTAGATCACATTATTCGTGGACAAATTTTAGGCAATAAATAATGAATAATTTATTTAAGATTTATCAACTGATAAAAAATTAAGGTAATCATAATGATACTTATAACCAAATAAGTAACTTATAATATTGAATTATAATTAAAATAAGTAAATTATGATACTGACTTATAACTAAGACAGGTAAATTATAATATTAATTAATAGCTAAAAATAAGTAACTTATTATAGTAGTAACAAAAAACAGAAAAAATAAGAAAGCATTAATTTGATAATTATAATTTAAGACAGCAATGTAATTGTGAATGGACCGATTGGAGTATTTGTTCACAGAGATGCGCTGGAGGATATCGAAGTCGAGAATGGCGATGTTTACCTGGTGACACCTGTAATTCATTCAAAGAGAATCAACAACAATATGAATCATGCAACAATGTATCATGTAATGGTAATTACTTTATTTCTATTTTACTATTATGTAAGAATTCACTATCATTATTAGAATCGTTATCATTGTTAGAATCTATAAAATCACCTCTAACTTTTTGTTTACTAATTTTGTTTATTAATCAATTAATTGTATAAGTAATAGATCTACAAGATTACTAGAATTTTTCTACTAACTTCTGTTTATTAATTAAAAAACTTATCAATTAATTTTATGAATAGTAAATGTATAAAATCACCAGAATCTTGCTATTAACTTTTGTTTATTAATTAAAAAACTTAGCAATAAATACTAATTTTATAAGTAATAGAATGCAAACAAAGATTTTTCGATATTTTCTTTTCAAAAACTTTTTTTTCTTTCTTTTTTTTTTTTTTTGCAGAAATTCGACGATATAGTGATTGGAGTCAATGGTTAGCATTAGATGGTAATAGTGAAATTCGATATCGTGCTAGTTGTGGTGTTGAAATACCTGATCCTATGTCAATTAAAGTAAGAATTATTCAGATATATTTGTATCAAATTGTTTAAATTATTTCAAAAAAAAAGGTTAAGAAATATAAAATGGTTTAAATAAATAAATGGTAAATAAATAATTAATGATTTTATACAAAGCAAATAACACTTAATTTGCTCATTTTTTTTTTTTTTTTTTTTTTTATAAATTTATTATTAATTAATCATTTTTATTATTACGTTTAAGACTATACTTCATGGATCAAAACGTGTACTTACGTATCATGAATGGTTAGCATGGAATGAATGGACAGCATGTAGTGCAACTTGCGGTAATAGTTTACGGAGTCGTTGGCGTATCCGGAAAGGTCTTATTATATCATACAATGATGATAATATTCAGTATATTGTCGAGCCATGTTCTATACCATCATGCAAATTTGGTAAGCATTTAATAGCTACAACACGTAGATCACGTGTTTTTAAGTCTGAAAATAAGAATAGAGTAAATTGTAATATCGTAAACATAAGACATATAGATGGAGCATTTAATAGCTAAATGACTTTTTTTTTTGATCCAAACAGAGTAAATCGTAATTTAGTTTAGCACATATATCTCAGTATGACGCATATAAATCGAGCGTTTAATAGCTAGATCACGTAGATCACGTTTTTTTTTGGCGCAAGGAGAGTAAATCGTAATTTAGTTTAGCACATATATCTCAGTATGACGCATATAAATCGAGCGTTTAATAGCTAGATCACGTAGATCACGTTTTTTTTTGGCGCAAGGAGAGTAAATCGTAATTTAGTTTAGCACATATATCTCAGTATGACGCATATAAATCGAGTGTTTAATAGCTAAATCACGTAGATCACGTCTTTTTTTGACGCAAGGAGAGTAAATCGTAATTTAGTTTAGCACATACATCTCAATACGACGCGTATAGATAAAGCGCTAAACGATTCGAAGTAATAATTAGGATTTTTTTTTTCTTTAACTTTAATCAAATTGCAGATGAAATGATTGAATGGACAAATGGAAGCAATGTTCGATGGAAAATTTTAAAATGTTCATCGCTGGATGATTGCTTCTATAAACTCAATAATATCAATGATTTTACCAACAGTAATGTTTGATAACATCCTCTAAAGATTGAAAATTAATTTCAATATACCAAAAAAGATGACTAATGGAATAGTTTATCAATTTTTATAGAAGATGAAAAGACAATGAGTAATTTTAAGAAATGTTAAAAAGAGTAATGTTTAAAAAAAATACTATATATCTGATTATTGTAGGATAAATTTAAAAAAGAAAAAAAAAAAAACTACCAAATGTTAATTTCAGATTTCTCCATGACATCACTATTATTAACTCATTCATTAATGTTTCTACTTGGTATTATTGTGAGAAAATTACAGCAAATGTTTCAATTCAGTAAAATTTTATGACATTCATTTTAATTTAGCTGAAATTATCTATCATTTATGATTTTTTAAAATGACTAAAGAATTGTAATGCCAAATAACATTTAGAATTATTCTCGAGAATTTATTTAACCAAATAATTTCTTTAAATAATCAATTTAAGATTTGCACATTTTCTTCAGAAAGAACGAATGAAATACAAAAAATGGATGAAAACAATCACGAAATCAATTGGTTTTTTGATATACGCAGCATGCGACGCATTCGCAGTGATTACTAAATTATCAGTTGGAATTTTGAGTAGCTGAATCGGAAACTGATACTCTATTTTGTAGCTAACATAAATTATGAATATAAGCATCAGGAAAAAAAATTATTACTGTCGTCTATCAGTTGCACAACGAAAAATTCATACGAGAATTAAGAATGAAAAATTCAAGTAATTTAACTTTCTATAAGAATTTATACAAGAAAAAAAAAAAAAAAAAAAAAAAAAACATGAAAATGCAGTGTACCTAAAGGACAATAAGAAGGCATTTAAAATAAGGCCTTTAAAATTTAAAGTTTTTAAGAAAATTTAAAATTAAAATTTAAAAATAAGCTCTATAGAATTAACCATATCACATTTTTTTTTTGATAGAAGAGAAATAATTCTGCTTACAAATCAAACATTTATTCCTCACTTCACAACGATAAAAACAATGTACGAATAAAATTATTAACCTGAGAGCAGGGATGAGTAAAAAATGCTAGTCAATTCAATTTAAAATTACTAGTGAAACACCAAAAATGCTTAAAAATGAAAAATTATTTTCAAAAATATATTGACATCGCAGTAATACCGTCAAAAATAATTGATGAAACGTTGTTTCACTTTTGAACAACGTAAATGTGAAATTAAATTAGATGAAATACTTTAGACTATAAGAATGTAAAATGAATGATAAACACAGAAATTTATATAAGAAAGTTCGTAGTATAAAGTTCACATAACTACTAGGTAAGTCAAATCCATATTGCTTGTTTAAACAAAGGTACTTTAGCTAATAAATGGGAAATGAATCTGAAAATACAATGACAATAAAATTTACGATGAAATTATTTCCTTTATAAAATTAAACATCACATTTAAATTGAAACTAAGTATTATAAAGTATATATTGGTGGAAAATAATCCATCCTAAAATATATGTATATGCTCACTAGCAAATCTAATATCTGTAAAAGAATTTGAGCTTTGTTTTGAATATAGTTGTAAATATATTCAAAAAAAAAAAAAAATTGAATATATTATGAAAAAATTTTAAATTAGAAATTTAAAAACACTTGGCTAATTTTCCTTGATAAGAAATCAAATTTGATTCAAATAGATAAACAATTGTATCAAAAGCATTAATTGATCATCTTACATTTTATAATTAAAATTGAAAAACGACAAGACAAAATGGGGACTTCCCATGCCGGGAATCGAACCCGGGCCGCGTGGGTGAAAGCCACGAATCCTAGCCACTAGACCACATGGGAGCTTACAACCCACTTCGTTTGCTCAAATCTAAAGGTTAATTTAAGTAAGACATTTAAATTTTAATAAAATTTTATTATGAATTATTTATCAATAAACAAAAAAGAAAGTCTAAAAATGATAGCTAATAACGATCAGATCAGAAAATAATGGCACAAAATAATTATTTAAAATAATCAAAACAATATTGCAAGAAAAAAAAAAAGAAAAAGATGAAAATAGATCAACAAAGATCAAAATTAATTAATTAATTTAACACAAATTAATTTTTCAACAAAAAAAAAATAGCATAGAGAGAGAAGAGAAGAGAGAAAGAAAGAGAAAAGTGAATGGAAATAACAGCGGCTGCATTAAATAAATGCGATTTAAGAGTGGAATTTTGTCAGTTTGTCGCGATAGTTTGCAAAATTAGTATTTTAATTTCGTTTTATTGCTGTTTTTACATATTTATCTAAATTATATTAATTCTTTTATTTAAATATTAGTAGACTTATATTAATTCTTTTTAAATATTAGTAAATTATATTAATTCTCTTATTTAATATTAGTAGAGATTAGTAGACGTTGCAAATAATTCATTTCATTATTTTATTCCAGTTAATAAGTCGAATTCAGATTGTTTTTTTTTTCTTTTTAAAGAGCCTACTTACACGTACGTATCTTTTACGTTACACGAACTATAGTACGTACGTTACATAAACTATAGTTTTGCTTTTTTTTTTTTCATTATATAATTTTTTTATATAGTTTTAATATTACGCTACGTGTGTTACACAAATTATAGTTCTATTATTTTGCGTATAAATTTACTTATCATATTTATTATTTCTTTCCTTCATTTTTTTTTTTTCAGTTTTTACAAAATCTTATGCTGTTTTATCCAAAAATTTTTTCGTATAAGGTGGCGAAATTGAGATAGCATATGATGCTTCGTACAGCATTTTGTAAGTTCATTTTAGCAAGTTTTTTTTTTTTTTTTTTTTTTTCCCTTTTTCTAAATGAGACAAATTTTGAAAATTTGTTGTAATATTTATTTTGAATTATAGAATGTTGCCCTTTATTGTATAAAAGTGATACTTTTAATTGGCAAAAACAGAATTTGTTTAGTAATAATATTAAATTTATCAAGTGATATTTAGTTCATTAAAGTATAAAATGGCAAAATAATTATGTGAATTAAAAGAATGAACATAGCTTTTAAAAAGAAGTGAGCAAATAGGTGACAGAAAAAAAAGAACAAACTAGAGGAGTAAATTCTGAAAACTTTTGCATAATACTTTTTAAAAGCTTTATTTCTGTTTATACAACCGTTCTTTTATGTATTCACATGCTCTACGCATTTTTAAATGCTATCATTTTCCATATTAATTATTCTTAAACTGATGAAAAATTTTACTTTTTATATCGAATTTATTTCATTTTTATAATTCATTCTTTGTACTGCAGTGCTGGAGAAGCCTTCACATGCGCTGTTCCGTACCTGTGCATTCAGCGGAAAGTTTAATGAATTTAAAGGTAGATTGTTTCGTGCTGCTCAGTCATCACGAAAACGAAATGTTGCAACAAAGGATGTAATTGAAGAGGTCGGTTTTTTTCCTTTACCTTATCTACTTCTAGTGAAAGAGGAAATCAAATTTTAATAACACTAATATATCATCTTTGATTAGGATAAAATAAAATGCTATTAATGATAGAGTACGATATGGATTTAAGTGGAATTATTACTCATCTGATTGGGAATACTGAAAAGATGGAGCAGAGAATTACCGATAACCATTTCTTCGGCAGAAAAAAGATTATTAGTGAAATTGAAGTATTTTATAACTAAATTTCTCATTTTAGAATACATAGGTCGTTGATTTCAGACTCGTGCTATGTTAGAATTTGGCTTGACACGTGAACATCTTCAGAATTTGCCACGCAAAGAGCTTTTTCCCAAGAAAGCAATGTATAATGTGGATGATGTATACCGCAAAGCATTGCAGGTTTATAAGTTTGTCAATCAAAAATTTTTAGTGAAATTTAATATTCTTAGAAAAATTCTTTTTTTCAGGTACATGGTAGTGAAAGAGGTATACAGCAAAGGATGCAATTATATCAGAAGTATTTGTATCACAATCCATTGTTTGACGAGAGAAAACATGATAAAAACCAATCTACTTCGTTTGCTGCAGAGGTAGTTGAATTTTCATTTTAATTTCATTCAATTGTGTAGAAAAATTTCAATTTGACATGTAGTTATTGTCCAATTCTCCTTTTTATTTTACCAATTAATAAAGACTAATTTGCAATTACCAGTTATTCTGTCTAGGATGCTACAAATGCTGTGAAAATTGCATTGGGCACAAATTTTCTTGATGTTTGCTTCAAATTATGTGGCACATTTATTACTGGTTCGTTCGGAATCTTTCCATCATTTTATGCTCAATATTAAACTGTATAAAAGGAATTGGTGGATGCTTCACTTAAATATTTGTTGTTTGCGTAGGGGTAAAGAAACGGAATGTTCTGTGAGGTTTATTATTTGAAGTCAAGATTTTGAAATTTTTGAATTTTTATCACTTTATTTGCTAAAAGTATAATTATAATTTAGGATCAAAAAGCTTAGCTGCAGAAGGTTTGCATAGCTCGCTGGATTTAACCAACCAAATTATTCTGATGTACGGAATACGATATTCGAAATTAAATCCCACACCAACTTATCCATATGGTTACGGCAATGCACGATACATTGCTTCGTTAATCAGTGGTTGCTGGCTTTTTGGATTTGGTGGTGGTGTTTCGCTGTATCATGGTATTACAGGTTTTCTTCATCCTCATGCAATCGAATCACCTGCATGGGCAAGTTTACAAAAAAAAAATTGGACTTCTGGTTAAGACTTCTCAAACGATCTCAGACTTTTTCATGTTGGAAAAATATTGAATAAAAAGCAATATAACTTTTTCTAAAGCTAATGGAGTAAGCTTAGTATTATGCATAAATTTGATAGTAATTTGGAATAAGCAAACATGCAGGAATTCATTAAATAAAATTTTTGTGGAAGTATAATTTTTGTAGTGAATTAGAGTTAAGGCATTTTCTCGAAAGATCTGTTATTTTGTTGAAGACTTTGAAGTATAATTTTCATCTATTTCTCTTCTTTTATTTTTACGAATTTTTAAAAAGCACTGATTGTAGATTTCAGGCATTTATCACTTTGACAATGTCTTTCTTACTACAAGGATCGTCAGCGTCATATGCATGGTGGAAAGTACGACGGAAAGCAAAACAGTGTCACATGTCCCTCACTGAATATGGTCATTTAAAGTCTATTTTTTTTTTTTTAAATATGGAAATTTTTTAATTAAAATTTCTTTTTTTTTTTGGTATGCAGCATAGGCTAGAATTACTATCGAAGTTATAACATAACCGTGATTATATTCTAACCCAAATTATAGAATCGGCTGAGTGACGGAACAGTTCAATTTTTTCTTCTTTTTTTAGAGCAATATTTTTCGATTCTTTAGCTTCAATTTTTTTTTTGAAGGTTTATTTCTATTAAGCAAATGCATCATTTTAGATATTACCATATAACAGTATGAAAGATTCATGTAATATGTTTAGTTTGAATTATCAAATGTGATGGTTTATTTGTGAAAATTGTATTTTCAGTGAGAACAAGTGCTGATCCAAGTTTAAGTGTTGTATGCTTGGAGGATTCAGCATCAATTCTTGGAGCATTTATTTCTGCTTCATCAATCGCATTGAGTTGTGTGCT